GCCCTTATGGAGCTCATGAACACATGAAGCGTGACGGTCTGGGGCAGAACAGCCACACCAGCAAATACTCCCAGAAAGCAATTGTCCATGTCTTCTTTCTCAGACAAAAGGATGGGCAGAAAGTCTAAGTCAGCTCATTCAGCTTGTCATTCTAGTCTAGTTGCTACATAAAGAGAATAGCGCTTCCTCTCTTATAGCATATTTCCATGCCTGCTGACTATTCTCAGAGCAGGTAGTAGGCATCGCAGAGTAAACCACAAATAAAAAAGTATAAAAGAAGCAGAAAGGGAAGTAAGACTTAGGGTCAGTGACACGCTACTGTTATCTACATGATACAAATAAATGACAGCATGTCGTATTTAGAATGGCTCACTGATAGGCTCAGTTAAGAAGGAAAATGTTTGTGAGATTGATTTCATCTGGCAGTTTTGAAGGACATGCATGGAAGGGACAGTTAGCCTATGGGACCAGTCTAAAGCTAATCTCAAGTAAACACCCTGAACTATAGCATGGATGTATCTAACTGCCTTGATTTACTGATCCATTCCTGTTGTGCTGCATTGCTTAAATCATGTAGACTCCGCCTTTGTGTTTCAGAGTTGAAAAGTTCATGTATTATGCTGGATTCTAACACTGTTTTCTGTCTTTATGTTTAAAGGTCTTATAGGCAGTGCAATGAGCAGGTGAGTGGCCTCCTTCCAAATCAGGAAAGTAACTCTCAGAGGCATTAGAAGGAGGGAAAACAGCAGGGTAGAAAGCACTTCCTTTGAATTCTGTTTTTTATCTTCACTTCCAGCAGACCAGAACCAAGGACTCACATCCAGAAAGGGACATAAACATTATGATATCCACTTTGCAGCATCTCCTAGTTTGGACATTGTCTTTAGGAATGGAACTTGAAATTATCTACCTGTTAGCTGTGCTGAATTGGAGAGAATTAAACCCCAGGATTCAAATCAACTTGCTAAGATCTGGGATATCTAAGCCAATAGCAATATAGCAACAGCAGACATACGATGTGGTCTTTCAGTGTTACATACACAGCGTAGTTAATGTGCACATGCACAATATTTCTGTTTTCCTAAATGCCAGACTTACTGTGCTTGCACAGAAGTGTTACATATGAGTAATAGATCCAGCATTTTTTTGGAAGCACAGCTTTACTGCTCATATAACACTACTCACAGAGAGCATGTGCTCATAGCCTGCTTATATCCTACTTCTCGTCTGGTACTGCAAAGCACTCAGGAAAGAGGCTGGCTGCCTGCACACTGCTGCTACAAGATTCCCAAACTTGCTTTGCACTGAGACCTCTCCATGCAGGAAGGAACAAGCTGTATACTTTAAGAATAGCTCTGAAGCCAGAAGAAAGTTGCTTTCAGCTAACGTCTCTCTTCCATCTGTCAAATGAGAGAACGTGTCCCCATTATGCACTGGGAGAAGCCATACACTGAGCATCCCACACAAATACAATCCTTTTTCTTATCTAAGTTCTCAGATAAGCTAGGATAATTCTTATTTTCAAAAACATTTTAGCACTGGGGGAACCTATTGACAAGTCACTTGCACATAGGTTTTGGATGCCGTAATAATTTTACAATGCTCTTTAGGTTTCCTATGTCACTTATGTATAGCCAAAATATTACATCATGACTGCTATTATTTTCTTAGTCAATTAAGCATATCCTACACACAATCCTTTTCTCAGTATTATTTTTTTTCTTAGGTCCTTGTACATGCAACTTCAGTGTCTTTTTAGACATTGTCTCTACCACTTGACATGTCTGAACTTCCTTTTAATAGAACATATAAAATCCTTCTCTGAACATTTATTTCATTCTTTGCACACACAAAAAAAATATTAAACACAATATCAAACACTGCTATGAAATTTGCTCTGACTGATGTCATGCAGAAAATACTTCCATTTCAAGAATTAACTTTACAAATGGTATTTCTACTGGAGTGTCTTAACCTTATCTAATAATAATAACCCACAAAGTGCTTTAGTTAATATTAATGTGAAACTTGAATAACTTAAATTACATCTGTATGAGATGAGAATTTGGTCTACTAGCTCTAATCCAACAAAGGGTATTTTGAAAAGCAGAAAAGTAACTGAAAGATTTCATCTCTGCCTATTTCTTACAAACATAAGAGTTTACCCTCATACGAAATGTTCTCCTCAAATACAAAATCATCAGGAAAAAATATTTTGAGAAAGCTGGGTAAACGTACCTTTTTATACTGGTTAAACACTGTACAAGAAAATACAATGATTAATTAATCTATATTTGTACAGATACATAGGGGTTTTTTTTATTTAAAACGACTGCAAGCTCTAGAATGTGGTTTCTAAACAGGCTGCTGGTATTTGAAATATAGAAATCCATCACTCTTCAGGAAGCCAGCAATTAGGAGTAAAAAAAGACAGCCTTTCTTTTCAGACTCTAAATGCCTGTTGCATTTTCAGGCTGCAGAGAATATTGATGAAAATTACAAAAAAGAGCTTTAAAAATAGAGTATTTTAGAACCTTGACAATAGGTTTGTTGTTTGATTTTTACCCTCTAAGCTTATTCTATACTGCATGAGTATACAGCTTTAAGGAAGTGTTCCATACATGTTTTTTAAAGCACTTTCACCTCAAAATCTGAGTTTAAAACTATCATAAGACAGGAAACATTAATAGTAAAACTAAAAATAACATCATCAGCAATGTTACTAAGTACTAAAACACAAGGAGTCATCAAGTTTTAAATTAAATGAGGAACAGAAACGAGGTACACGTTCAAAACAAACTAAAAGAATTTTCATCTAATGAAATTCAAGTTAGTGAGACTCCATTTATGGTTTGAGATCTTACAATATTTAGATGGTATGCAGTATTTTGAATGCTTGATGACAGAGCTGAACTTATCAACAAACAAATAGATATACAGAAATGTTTCACGATTCCTTGCAGGATGTGAAATTTTTTTTAGATCTTTAGCAAGCTGTGGTGAATACAGCAAGGGTGAGTTACATTAGATAAAACTTATTGTGAACCCAATTTTGGGGCCCCATAACTATTCTGACATCTGTGCCTTCAAGAGAACTTGGTTTTGAATAGGAAATTATGTATTTTTACTACGTGAGCTCTCTTGCGTTGCTGTCATTTAAGCATTTAAACGAAGAAATGTAATGCACAGCTTCAGCTTTCAACTGTCTTTGTTTTTGTGTTTTCTTCAAAGATACATTAATAACGTGGTCTTTAAGGCCTGTTTTTTCTAGCTCAACAGGGAAGCTGCAAAAGGCTACCTCACTGTTATTCAGCCCATGCTTCAAGCTGTTCTGTGTTACTTAATTACCTTTGGTTAAGAAGATGTTGATTCTTCCAAGTAACGGCATAACTTCCTTGTTCTCAGCTTGTTTCAAGAGTATCTCTAGATCTTTATTTCATCCTCCTTTCTCATATTAAGCATATTTTTAAAAGACCTCAGTTGGAGTTTTATGACAGAATATGTTCTCAGCATTAGTATACTCTCCAAAAGCAGACATTAACAATGTTCTCATAAACTCCAGTTACTGAGAGCAGATAGCACTAAGTTATGGTATACTAACAATCTACCCATTCAGTAATTTTGAAAAATTTAAACAAGAATACAAGAAAGCTGATCTAAGAAGTATGAAAAACAGCAAAAAATACTTAATCAGATAAGAGCAGGGATTAAGATTATAAAATTTTGTTTGAATGATAGAATTGCTAAAAAAATAATAAATTCACAGTTAAACCTTAAATATCTATTCAAATTCATCAAATGCTACTTTTATATACCCTACTACTTGTACCACTTATGTCACTTGTCTAATATGGTATGTGGAATATTATTGTCTTTAATAATCTTTGGAGCTTCAGTGTACAGACTCATATTGTAGTACATATGGATTGACTAACACATCCAGACGCGGAAATTGTCACAAATTCTAATTTTTCCCATACAAAAGAAATTCTTGTTCTCTTTTACAAGTGATCCATCCAGTAAGCCATGATGCATCAAAAACCTTCTTCAAGCAATGTCAGCCTCATGCTCTAGACTGAAAAGTCCTTAATAACTCTTCTCATTCTCCAGTATTATCAAACTGCAAACAAATTAATCTCTATTTACCTCAATTATTCTACATATGCTGCTCCCAGAATACCCCATACACTTTACACTAGGTTTTATTCCCGCCATAGTATCTTGTGGTAAGTATCTGCATCACATGTGGCAGTCTTCTGAGACTTACTGGTGTCTACTTCTCATTCATTCTCCTTATACAGCTTTCCAAAACCAAATAGTAACTTTCCATGCTAGGCCCTCTACCTCTCTTGTTTGGAACGCTAGTAGAATCCTCACTGATATATTCTGATACACAAAATACAAGAACAATCCCTTCTATTACTGATTTTTAAAACCTACAGTTTAAATCAGCTAGCACCAAAAATGATTGGAAAAATGACTACAAGTTATTCTGTCCACAGCTGAGGAGCAAAATTCATGTACACAGCAGTAAACCAAATATGAAGCCTGTAGGAAGTCTCCACATCTTACATGAAAGGCAGGTATTAGGAAAACAATGTTTCATCCAAGGTTTTTAAGAATACTTATGTAAGGGGCAAAGTATTTCATGGCCAACTGCTATGTAAATAAAAACCTCTGGGATTCATTGACAGCCTTATTTACACCTATTTAATGACAGTCTATAAACAGAAAACCCCAAAATAATTAAAATAAAATTTAAACAACTGCCACTTCAAATTACAGATTCTACTCTCATTTGCTTTGTTTGTCAATTCCATCTATACAAAGTGAATCCAATGCAATTACATTATGTTATGCAACATTTGCATATGTCTACATGTCTACAAAAACAGTAGAGAGTTATGTTTTTCTCCATTCAAAAAAGTGTTTTAAATAACGTGAAAGCAGTATATGTTAGTTCCCCTGGATCCTTGCTTGGATAATAATAGAAACTATACCTTTGGGAGAAGCTGGATTGCTTGGAGTATTCTCTGTCTGTGTCCAGAGTTAAGGATTCCTATTTCCAAGAGATCCTGGTCCTCCATTACATTGCTTCCCTAAAAATGAAAAAAAATGGTACAACAAAAATGAAAAAATAGCAGATGCCTTCAGTAGCCTGAAATAAAACCTTCTATTGCATTTAAAAGAGAACATTTTGCTTAACTTGTAGTATCTGACAAGAATCATAAAATAATGATTGCATTTATTTTTACAATGACAAAATATGGTGGAAGGCGCTTAAACTCATGAACAATTACTATACTGCTGGCAGCACTGCCAGTGGAGAAATTGGAGCTCTCACTCAAACCAAAATACCAGCTGTGAACCTTCTTTCATTTGACTGAATCCAAGGACATGACTAGAGTAATGCTCAGAAACTTCATTTTTTCATTCCCTTCCTATCCTACCCAACTATAGATGATAATTTTTCTCCAGACTTAGCACAGAATAAGATGGGCAGAGTGGATGAGGATAAAATTATTTAGTCCCTTGTTAGTAAAATGGTGAAGAAACCAAAGAGAGGGAATGGTATCAACAAACCTCATACAATCCCCATCGCCCTGAATTTAACTGTACCAGTGCAGTCCTAACTTTACCCATCACTGCTCTTATCTTCCTGCTTGAGGGCAGGTCAAATAACTCCTATCATGCAAACAGCAGAAAAAGACCATCTGTTCAAACAATACACAAAATAAGTGCCCACAAAAGTCCATAAAATAAGACTCCACAATTCAAGCCTCTGTTCTGAGTTGCTACCAGTAGGAGAGGACCTATAGCTCCACAAACAGGATAATACGACTCCTAAGTTCAACAAGTCTGACACCACCTAGAGAGTAAGTTCAGCATTTGAAGGTTAAGGTATTTGATGAGCTGGGAGTGTCTATTGGGAATCATAGGAGGCACAACAGTAGCTCAAAAAGGGAATTGCAGCCAGAAATCAAATCAAGATACTTTAAAGTAGGGTGGCAATCTTGTATTGCTTTTTTAGACTACCTCATTTCAGACAAAATATATTTAAAAAAATTTTTTTAAAACCTTTTAACTATTACAGTTGTGAACGAAGTCTGCAGAAAATAGATGATCTGTCTGAATTCTTACCCCTGTTGGAGTCTCATGACTTGCTGGAAGCAAGAACTCTTATTATTGGTACTCATTTAACATCATTATGAAATGGGCTTTATGTGAACAAATCCATGAAAAACTTCACCCCCACCTTTCCATTTGGCTTGCTGCTTCTCACTCAGTAGATCTCAAGCAGCAGCAGCAAAATGAAAAGCTAATAGGTGCATAACAGAACATGCTTAAATACTTTGATGAATCAGGGCTTAATAATAGATATTAATTCTTCCTGAATATCTAATCTCCTGTCCCACAGCAACATAGCTTGCTTTCAAGAAGCATGGTGGAATACGCAATGCTTCGCCCTGTTCAGCTGCTAAATCTTCACTCTTTTCAGATGGACTGATTAGTTTACAGATGTACTCTTGAGGACTCTCAAGTGCTACTCTGCATAGTATCCTGCAAAATCTAGGGGAGGTCTTTTTAAGGCAATCATGGAAACTTTGCAAAGCTATTACACTTAAAACTGTATTTCACAGTAAGTGGTATGATTTAAGACTACAAGTCTGCAAATCATATCCTGGAAGTATTTGTGCGCAGCATTCAGAAGAGGGGCAGGCAGAGACCTGCTCTAAAGGGAGAAGCTGTGCAATCATACTGGTTTAAATAGATCACATGGTGAAAGAGTGCACGCAGCACAGGCTGTGCAAACAGTGATAGTAATGATGTGGAGTTAATACTCCTTCATCTCCCTGGTAAACACATAGAAAATATAATTTCCTTTTTCTTCCTTTCTCCTGTAAATAACCTAAAGGAGGCTGTAAACTTAAAGGAAGAACTGAGGAAAAAAACCCCTGCATTTTGGGCTGGATTTTCCAGCTTCTGGAAATAGCTAGCATAAATGGATTTAAGCAAACTGAGCTAATTGAAGATCCAGTCCAAAACAAAGCCTATACATTTTCATTTGTGGTAATAAATGCAGGGGTTTTGGGGTTGTTGGGGTTTTTTTGTTTGTTTGGTTGGTTGTTTTTTTTTGCAGCTATTGCTTTCACTTGATTTCACTGTTTTTCAGACTTCACCTTTCATCACTGCATGATGTTTACACACAAGCACAGTATACTCATTGCTGAGCTACTACATACTGTTTACTGGTGTCAGTAACCTTGGCATCCAGCTTCAAATATTACAATGTTTAAAATCCAATTCAACTAACACTTAGGCACAGGAAAAATCCTGTTTATTTGCACAAAGTTGCTGCATAGCAGAGACAACATTATTTTATTAATTCTTTATCTATTTTACTATTTTTTTTTCCTTATATATCAGTTCATACATTTTGTTTCTTTTTAGTTGGCATTATGTATATTTTTGAAGTATGTCAAGGTTACAAAATCAAATATTTAAAACTCAGGAAAGCCTGGAAAACTTGTTGCCTCCTTGTGCCCTGTCTGAGAAGGCAACAACCTGGTCTTTCAGGAGCTTTTCCTGTGTGTTGCCATCAGTGTTAAGAGTAGCAGACACTCATCCCTTCCTGCAAAACAGACCTCATTGTCTCCTGCCACGGACCTAAAACAGCCCTTCGTCTTTCCACAAGAGTAAACCAGGAAACTTCAAATACCCAGTAGATACCCAGTATATACCCACTATTATTTAATATAGAGAAGTAAACTGATAGTAGTAGAAAGCTGCTGTCTGCTTTGCAGACATGAGTGTGAAGAGTAACAGTCCCCCTTATTCCTATCTCCCTTGTACCTGCTCCCATTCTCCCCTTAATTCCAGTCCCTACTTCTTTTTTTACCTAATTCCTCTTTTGCTCCTGCAGTCTTCTTCCATTGGCTCCTATGTTGAGAGTGAGGAAAGCCTCACTTCCTTCTGCAGCAGATCAGAGACAAGAGAAATTCTCTCCCTGCTCTTAGCTGCCAAGCACACATTTATTATAAGCTGAGCCAAATTTAACCTTAATTAATTTTACAGAGATGACATAGTAAATGTAATTAAAATTAGTATTAATGCAAGAATGTCTTTTCACATTATTTCAGCCTTGAAAATAGCTGAGCTATGTTAGCTGAGGCATTCACCAAAAATAAATTATTCTAGTAGATACCTAGAGAATTTGAGTCCGAAGATTTAACTTTGATATGCTTGTATACAGAACAGGTTCTTATAACAGGAAATACGGGACAGCAATCTTTACTGGGGTTATTATGCTTTTATTATGTAACAAAAACATAAGAGGCTTTGTGATATTGTAGTTTCTTAACTCTGTAAAAAAACTTAGTTGGAAGGAAAACTGACTTCTAGGACTTAAAGCAATAAGAATATATCAAAATTGCTTGTAGTAGGACAGATTCAGATCTCATTCACTTCAGCTTACACTGTTGAAGTTCCTGTCTTGTTAATATATAAGAGATAGTTTTACTTATGCATTAGAAAGATTCTGGTTCTGAAGTTCCAGTTAGGAAGGAGTGTAGCTGCTTTCCCCCTGGGATTTGTGGTTATGCACAACTCTCAGGAATATAATCTTTTTCCCTGTAAGCACACACAGGAAGCTAATCTCTTGAGTAAGAATGCAGTAGTTTCACAGAAGAGTTGGGCTCAAGAAGGAAGGAAAAATGACTATGCATGTGGGAGACTGGAGGCATATGAAAAACAACACAATTTATAAAACTGAGAAATTTTGCCAAAATCTGAGATAGTTCCTATAAATAAGTTGAGAACAAAATACATAATGGTACACTCTGAGATAAAGATTTTACTGGCATTTATTTGGGTTGTTCCACACAAAAGCACATATGGCATTCTCCACCTGAAGTTAATATAGCCTTTCCAAAAAATGCTGTGTTAGATCTTTATACCAGATTCCAAATGTATGTAAGAACAGATATATGTATACAGAATCTTTAGAAAACAATTTAACCTGGATTACGTCAGATTTATAGGAAAAAACTTACTCTATTAAAAATAGGCTAATTTAATACATTAAACAGGTCACAGAACCTCTAAAATCCAAAGTAAAAGATTCATAAACTTATAGACAACTGCATTTGCTGTCAAAAGAGAACAACTTTCGAGATTATTGAAAAAAAAAAGAAAGGTCAACAGGTATTCTACATCCTGCAGGAACAAAAGCACTTTAAAGATTTGTCCCTGAAGATAATAAAATGTGGTGATTAGAAGAACATATTAGGATGGCAGGCATGACTGCATGTTTCTTGTTGCCCCCCTTTTGTACCTATGTTTTTAATCTTTCTTAATATATTTTCAGTGCATGATACCTATGGTGAAAATTTCCTATGTCTGGTTCTGTCATCTAAGTAAAATAAAAATGGTACAGAAGCCTTAAAACAGCTAGAAGATATATTGCAAGACTTATCTGAAACCTGAAACACCGAAGTTGAAAGATGGCGTGTGGGTAACAAACCACCTGCATATGCTTTTTGGTCTTATTTTTGTCCTTCACCATGGCTAATAGATTGAAAGCCTGATTAAGTTTGGAGAGAGGTTTCATAGGTTGTTGTTGCAATTAAAGTTCTGTGAAAAAACCTCAATGGGGAGGTAAATGCATATGTATTACTTTATGTAAACTGAGTAAAAACTGGCTGAAAAAAAGAAAGAAAAAAATGAATTTTGCATTTGAAGCTTTTTTCACTCATACAAAATAAAATATTTTAATGTAAGAAATAGAAGATTTGGGAGAATTCTGGCCATAGATAACCCAGCTTTTTCTATCATCACTTATGTCAGTTAGAGGAGGAAAAATAGCGAATCTGGTGCCTAAAGTTGTATACCCAGCAGGTCGAGTTGAATTCATTTGCTGAGCAGCCACTAGTGAGATCAAGTTCAACTGGAGATGCCAAGTGCTACTGGAATTAGCAGCAGCTGGTAACCTTTTTATGCTTTTGGTGTATTGGAAATTGGTTTGCCCAAGAGTACGGTTAGTGTGGGTAAGGGAAGGATGACTTCTGAGGCAAATACAGTATTGATGGGGTAGCACCAG